AGAGAGAGAGAGAGAGAGAGAGAGAGAGAGAGGAAGTCTTGCAATAAAGAGAGAAGTATTCATCTTTTGAAAGGTATGCCCGGTATGGTCAATTGTCTTGTTTGAATTTGCTTTATTTATTGGAGTTTGCAGTTTGACGTGCTTCAGCATAAATACCCTAACGCCCTCGGTGACGCTTTGCTTTCAATGTGTGTTTGCAGTACATGGACCATCCGATTTTGAAAAAAGCTCAAGTCATTAAGCAACACCCTGTTATTGCGAAAAGTCAGGAGGTGAAGTCCTATGCACAGTCACCCTGCTTTTTTGCCGTGTTCTGTTTATGTCTGACGTCTGTCACCCTGGTTTTGTCTGATGTCTGTGACATATATATATGTTGTCATAGAGAACGGCTCGGTGCAGATATGTGGCTGCAATTTGTGTGTTTTACCTATTTATGGTCTGATAGGCAGAGAGGGAGAAGAGGACAACAAACAAGGTGCTGTGACAGACTTTCGTTGGTGTTTCACCTACTCGTCAGGTGGCTCAACCCTCTCTGCAGAGTTGTCTAACCGATGATACTGTTAACAGTGTTAAGTGATAATCCATTGTAACCTCGCCACCGACTCAGTCAGTGCTGCCATCCCTAATCTCTGCCTATGGTTCACCAGGCAGTTCTCTAGAATGATATATATACTGTTTGACGAGATATATTCCTCTGCTGCAGTCCCCCGTACTATACTTTTTGCTGCTACAGCTTCCTCTACCTCAGCTCCAGCTCAAAGAACGGCACTGTCTCTCCGAAACTCACGTCCTTTGTTTCGAAATCCTGCCCAATCCGCCCCCCTTTCATCTCTTTCTGTGCTTGGCCGGTGACAGCTGCGTTCTTCCGCGTCACCCCCATCTCCTCCACGATCTTGCTTGCGAACAGACTCTCCGGTTTCCATTGTTCCCGTTGTTCCACCTTCGTTGCCAGGGACATGTTCATCTTCTGTTTGCAACACCACTACTCCCCTTGTTGTGCATCATCGACGACATCCGCGGTATCGTCACCTGTCCGGGGATCAGCGGCCTGTTTCTTTGTCTGGCCCAATTCTCTCTGTGCCTGCTCCACAGGTTGTTGCGGTTCATTTGTTCCAAACGGCAATATCCACTACTTTGCCTCCGGCAGACAGTCCAGTTGCCTGCAGGCAGCCACGGCACCATGTCTTATGCCCTTCAGCGTTAGATGTTCCACATGTACAACATGATGTGGTCCCTCCCCAGAGTACACTCCCGATTCCCGGTACAGTCCCTGCTCAGGATATGGCCCCAAATGTTGAGGGATTGGAACATGATCTGCCCGGATTGCAGTTAACCCCACAAGGCATAGACCACATGGGGGATCTGCAAACGGCTGGCATCATTTTGACGAACCACAAATCTGTGCCCCTCCAGGCGCAGACCACATGGGTGATCTGCAAATGACTGACCAGCAGACAACCCAAGACATTTTGGGCTTGCAACACCAGCTGGGTGATCTGCAAATTGTTGGCGAGCATCCGGCACACCAACCTGAGACCCTCACCAATCTCTGTGTTCTGATTGCGACTAATATCTGTCTTCACATTCTCCACCGCCCGTTTTATACACCATCAGACTTCCTTGCTATCGCCCTTCAGCTTGATGCTGATCTTCCCCACGTACCGCCAGAGGATTGTAATTATACCAGGGAATGCTCGAGCAGGTGAGTGGTTTAATCCTCCATCCCACATCTCTGCCTGCATTGTGCACGGACCTGGCCATTATATGGCCATCTTACATGCCTCTGACCACTGGGAGCTGTGGGACAACGGCAACATGGTCCATGCCATGACTGATGTTATTGATAACGATGCTGTTTTCTTGCCTCACCAAGCTGTCCGCAATCTCTTTTATGTCGAAGATCATCATTCCTCTTGCCCCGTGCTCCAGCAGGACAATGTACTAACACTCTGCGACCTTCTCCTTTGCATAGCTACAGACACTGTTACACTCGGCAGTAGCCGCCATCGTCTCTGTCACAATCACTACAATCAGCTGGTTTCTGCATCCATGTGTGTAGAGGACTGTCCCTCCATTCCTGACTGCAGGCACCCTCCGAATCGGGTGCAGAACAGTCATGACAGTGTTTTCCCTAGCTTGTGCGCTGTGTGCGATGGGTTGAGGTGTGATACAAAGTAGGTCATCAAGAGCGTAAGGGCATACTGACACTCTTGTTTCCTGAATGCATACACTTGGAATTACTGCTGGTTTCAGTCAAGGCAATCCGATTGCGAGTTGAGTTGGCTCTGATTTTGTGATTAAAGTAGGTTGGGAATGGACTAGGCAATCCGATTATCAATGTGCAGAATCGCGAACTAGAATCAACATGCATCAACCGTTGATAGACAGACCTCAGTTTTAGGCCTACGGAGAGAACTTCGAGTCCTACGGAGAGAACTTAGAGGAGTAAGAAAACCACTCTCAGCTCTTTTTCCCTCCTTTTGGGGTGAGCTCAACCAGGATTCGAGCTCGTGACCTGGATGCTAACGGTCTGATTTCTCATCTCTCCATCCGAATGGGCCTGCTAGGCTCAGAACAGAGTGACTCTTTATGCTATCCAATTGACAACCTCCAGAGCGGGCTGCACAAGCAGCACGTGTAGCTCAAGCAGCACAAGGAGCGGTAGCACAGCGGAAGTGGAACAAGCAGCCCCAGCAGCGTCGGGCTCATCACCAGCCTGGGCTTAAAGAAGTAGCCCAGGCACCACCTAGAATTGGAATGATTGAATGTGTCTGTCCTTTTATTCAAGTCCAGCCAGGTAGAAGCAACAGAAAGACTGGGATAATTTGGGGCTATCAAGAACTTGCTTGGACTTTATACCCGAGTTTTTGGAATGCCCATGTTCGAAGTCATGGATATCCAGGAGTCGTGTAGGAAGACAGATTCTTGCGACATGGATTTCCAAGCTTTGACTTTGACCGGATGATACATGATGTCCCAGGACTTTGACCAGTGGACTTTGATCATGTTCCAGTCTTTGGAGACTCACAGAGTCAGGGTTGCATCCCCTCCGACCGGTCGGGCCGACCGCCGACCGTATTGTACCGGCCGATCGGGGCCGACCGGTCGGCGGTAGCCGACGACTCAGAAAATAGTCCTCCGCTGATTTTTTTTTTGTTCC